CTGAAATCCAGTCAAAGAGGGCTAGTTCTGCCTTACAACTTATTACTTTACCCACAGCAGCGAGTTCACGGTAAGCAGAGGTGGGGCTTTCAGATTCATGAAACCTAAACCTAGTTAGTTTTTTTTATCTGGACGAGGTGAAATGAAATAATTGATTTTACACTAATCCCGGATGTGCATTTTGGAGACGCAGGATGAATTGATGGCACGAAATTCCAAAGTCCTAGATAATGATCTTGTTTTTCTATTTGAAAAACGTTTCAGTGATTAACAGATCTAACATGTAGTTTAGTGCGGATACTATGAACAACATTACACGAACTCATAACTTTTGTATCGGCCAAAGTTCTTAAATAATATAGGATACAATTTATACTCGGCAGCATGCTTTATAAAGTTCCTGATATTAAGTGTCTACCGAGACATTTGAAATCGTGGACCATATTACTGTTGAATAAGATTGGGGAATTTCCGCCTACCTATTAGAGCACCTGGATAGCTGAAAATCCAAAATGCATCAAATTACGTACGATAAACTCTTGTGACGAAGTAATTTGAGAAATCTGAAACACTTTAGCTATATTTTCCTCATTTTTATCACCCAGTTTTATGACATGCAAAATAACCGCACGAAGATCATCATAAGCTACAACTGACTAATCAGGTAAAATATGTACAACTTTACTCAGTATGATCTTCAAATTCTTGACATTCTACATCACTACTCATGATTTTGATAAGTTGGTCTACAGTGATCAGGTAAATTAAACTGTGTTTAGTACATCGACATCTCTTCTTGGTTTTGAGGCATCTTTTTGAACACTTGACTGAAATCAAGCATTATGGTCTTATCTTCTGAATTAACAATAACTTTACCATGGGTAGACTTTGGCGGTTCGCTAGTAAGCCATTGCGGAACGACTGCATAATGTTGATGATAAAGTTCAGACCAAAGACAATCAGATTTATGCAGGATAAATTATTTGGTAGATTCCTGGGGACCTAATATTTTGATGTGGCGATAAACACCATTCTTCATCTCCAGTAAGTCGTAAGACATGGCTTGGAAAGTACGTTTACGTTTAAAAGGAGAGATTGGATAGTGTGATCGGTCATGTCAAAAAAATTAGTTTATTTGTTCATTAAGGCACCGGTCAACTCTGAAATCATCGGCTTTGTAGGCATGCAATTATCGATGAACCATCTGTATGATGTTGACATTTTTTTTCAAGATGAATGAGGTTACGAATAACATGACACGATTTAACAATCTGCTGCGCGATTCGTTAAAATGGTCTTATTGATCCCCATTGTCTAGCTATTAGGTTGAAATAATAATAACAGGTAAATCTTTAAAAAACAACTTGAGATACAGTTGACAGAAAAGCTTTGTTTCTTTTATTTTCTAAGAGCAAACGCGATTGAATATTTCATCTGGGCAAGCTTCCGTTTAAAACACAGGAAAAGCGATAGTTACTTGAGGACGTTTGAAAATCTTCTGTCGGCAGTTTCAAGGATTTTCATTTAAGACTGATCGAATCTTCTGCCTTAGTCGGTTGAACTTTTCTCTTTTTAGATATGTTTTCAACCATGATTATGTTCATTATTCATTCTCTCGTGCATCTTATAACAAGCAAATAATATACTAGTAGGTTGTTGGTCCAGAACAAGAATATTAGACTCTTCAGGCTTTCTTAGAGGTATAAATAAGTAAGCACGAAAGTAAGTAGTTTGGTGAGTTACTATGCTATCAGTATATTATAGTGCTTTGGTCTTTTCGTTTGAAATGATTTCGGTTGCAGTTTCAATTACCATGAATTTGGCAAGATGCCAAAAAATAATGTGATCTAATGACACTGAACACCTGTCGGTATTATCATTATTATTAATTATTACCGTTAAGTTGAAGAAAACTGATAGGTGGCCTATGCTTCATTGTGGTTAAACTAATATTTAAGTAAGTAATTAAGTACTGAACAGGAACGCAAGTTTAATTCTAAGAAGTTAAATAAAATTTCATGAATAACTAACTTGTATGTGAAAAATATCATCCTCTTAAAGAGTGCTAATAGAAAACAAATATAACAACATATATATAGTTACTAAATGTACACATTCAAAAATGTGAAAATATTTCTTTATCATCAACCAATCAGAAAACATCTGTTCACTGTTCAAGTCTAATAATAACAATTAATCACTTTATTTGAATACATATAAATATAGAGAGAGCTGCCTGAGAATGAAAAGTATAGTGTTAGTTGGAAATGTGCCATCTATTTCTAATTTGTATAAATGTATTTCTGCTTACGTTACAAACTGCTGTACAAGACAGTAAGTTCTTAAATAATATTGCACGAAACATATATGTGAATAAATGTATATTATTAGAGCTGTAAATGCGCTACATTGCGATAGTTCTATGAAACATAGTATTTCAATTATTTGTTTTGAAAATCAGTATTTATATAAGTTGCTTATTATGCGAAAATTTGTATTTTTAATATGTGCTTGAAGATTCTAATTTGACGACGAAATTTACATTGACCCAATTGAACCGAAATAAAAGTAAGTCACATGATTATTGCAAATTCAATGTAACTGAATTTCATGAAGATTGCATTAGGATTAGAATTACTTTGGCGATGACATATTTTACTAACCTTTCTTGATAATGAGAGTAAAATGATGACTTTGTAGTTACAATAGTAGCTGAGATATTGTTTCATTTGTAAATGGATGATGTACGCTTCTTGCCAGTTGCTTGATAATTGTTCTTTATCCCAAATGCTTCTTAAAAAAGTGTGCAACAAAGTTGCAGTTATCATTATGTCTGCTTTCAGTGCTCCATATGGTAGATTGTCTAATGATCCTGGCTTGCCATTGATAGTTCAACATTAGTTGAAAGGTATTTAGATGCTGCTTCGTTTTTATCGGTAGGTTCAATGTGACCGTTTTCATATAGAGTTCTTTGAATTTCCCTATCGTCCCACCATTCAGTTCGTAAATACAGTTTCTCTGTTCTCCACATATTAGACTTTGTAAGATCTTCTTCACTTGATCGAGAGTATTTTCGAATTAGGCCTGTTATATTCTCGTGTTTCACTGTTATTACTTGAATGATACCTGCTTTCTTAAGTAAACATACAAAATAATGATCTCTTTGTTAAAAGAGGCAGCTCTGTAACTTCTGATGAGATTCGGCCTTTATTATAAGGTGTTCATACTTTTTGAAATATAATCCTTCTAATTCTGAAGACAAATTTTGAATGGTTTGAAATGTTTTATCTGTCTAGCATTCTCACAGAAACATTTTCTTCCATGTGAATAATTGGCTAGACTCAAGCCCGATAATTCCCCTAATTTTCGTTTGCGATGAGGAGTTTCATTACAACGGATAATCTTACAAGTGCTTAGTTGACATACATGTATTCGTAAAACGACATAGTCATATGAATTGAGGTGTCTAGAATGATTACCTATTCACATCAACGTATTCACTAGTTATCATTGGTTGATGCAGCTGCAACAGCAGAAGTACAAACAATTCGATTTCCATCGAATAGTGTCTTTTAAGTCGAATTGACATAAAATCTCTGCTTTAAACATTTCGTGCGTCAACACGATTGGCTAGGTATCGAAATATTTTCGAATGCATTACAACAAACACCTACGATGTACTCAATTTTTATAAACAACAAATGGATGAATGATTCGAAAGTGTGAAAAAGGGTTTGTTTATAATTTTATGATATCATACAGTATATTACATTGTGATGGACGAAAAATGTGTACGCGGAGCACTAGAAATGCAAATAGGAAGGTCAAGCATAGATTCACACGATTAATCTAGTTCATATTATTCTCAAATTATAATAAATATTCATCACAGGTGTGCGATATGACGTGTTATTTTAAATAGAATTATTCATCTACTTGTTAATTTTTGCAGCTATTGAAACTAAGAATTCTATAATAAAACTATTGAATGGAAGAGAAGGTGAGAACAAATGCGTTACTCATTCTTGATATATTAACCATACGTAGGAGCTTTGGTTGTGTCACACTGACTACGTTCAAAATCTGTATTGTGAAATAAAGTTGCGCAACATTTTTGCGTTTTAACACATCAAATGAATGGAATAAGTCATGTCGTTATTTATATGAGTCTTAGTGTTCTGTTTAATTTATGAAATGATAATATCAGTTGACATTATCAATATGACATTCTGTCAAAAGTAAGTAATACATCATATTTCACAAAGTTCAAATAAAAGCCTACCTCTCTCTGAACCACATCAATGTGCATATGTATCAGTCCTATGGTTTTAGTATAAGCTTCAATAAAATCAATCTAGAAAACAGTGTTATGATGAAATTATTTATTTGACAAAATGTGTATCACCGTTTAACTGTAACGAAATATCATATTTAGACAAAATCAAAGTGATCATAAAAAATGTGATAAATGATGAAAATCAACTGAAGAAAATGACAGGTGAATTCATTGCGAAATTCATATACGTTTGTGTGCTTATCATTTGCAAATATTTTACATTGGCACAAACGTTTACTAAACAAATGAAACTGTTGGTGGTGGACGCAAAATGGAAAAATATGCGGGATTTCATGAACATGATCTAAAAATTGAATATGCATAGGCAAAATTTGTTGTGCGTGGTAGCTTTGCTTTTATCATGCTCAATGACTTTTCATGAATAATGTAGTGCGTAGCATTTGATATATTGGTTTTTAAAAGTTTAGATAAGTAGGTGCATACGTTGTTATTCTCAGATATCATAGTAGTAGTAGTAGTAGTAGTAGTAGTAGTAGTAGTAGTGGTAGTAGTAATAATAATAATGACTAAATGTTTGATGTTATAAATTTTTCAGGCAAATGCATTTATTTCACTTTCTCTAGTTCGTAATGAATCAAAAAAACAGACTCAATACTACACAATGCCATAATGATTTTTTGTTTTGCAACTATATTCAGGTAAAATGAAGAAACGGAACTCACGTGATTCCAAGCAGATTGAAGAATGTAGGTGACAAAATTATAATAACTTTGTTTGATTTTAGATGTTCACTGTACAAATACACGTTTGCATGGTGAACGTGGACTGAAACTGATGAAAGGTTAGCAAGGTTAAATGCACCATTGTTTTTAATTTAGATCACAACATATTTTGTGACAGAAAATTTTTTATTTTCATTTAGCAAGTTCTGAGTCTTTGAATGAATTATTATTTTTAAAATAAGATATTAGGGTTGGTTTAAAATGAAAACTGTTCATCACCTTGTAAGGGTTTGTCATGAGTAAGTTTGAAGCTCAATAAATATATATCGAAGACTATTAAATAATTCACTTGGATCATCTATTGCAGTACCCGAACTAAGCAGAAATTCCTCAGTTTATTCGAACCATCAATTTTTCCAGGTGTGACATGCAATATCGTACATTATTCGATCACAATTTTACTTATTAAGTTTTGCAAAATTACACATACTAAGAGAATTAGACATTATAAGATCCACTGTAAATGGGATGTTATATATTAGAGACAAATTATAGATTAATAAACCTCGAAAATAAGAAACATGAACTCTAATACACAGTCATTTCAAACTCAATCATGTTATCATTTCAGAGATGTGGATCAGAATATATTTTTTACTTTATTTTAACAATAATAATGTAAAATATTTTAGATTTTACGGAAATAATGAAATCAATGCACAAAAAATATCGTAGGTGATCTTGTCATATAAACCAATTTGTTATATTGTAATGATTGGGAAGTATATTATTGTTCATATTTGTAATGTTCTAAGATACACCAGCTGACTGGTTGTTAATAGTTATGCAATTTAGTATTCGTTAAAGTGAATCTGTCGCACAGCATTATCTTGAGATTAGAGTTATTACCAATTAGTAAGAATTGTATGATATGGTATGAAAGTAGATAATTATTTACCAATTGTTTAGTCTGAATATACAACATTCATTGTTTCTGATAGAATTCGTTGTCACTGAAAATGAAAATATCGATTTTTGTGATGTTGTGCATTGGCACACACAATATAAAGCCCTGTATATACTACTTTTCACTTCAATAAGTGATATAAACTGGAATATATTCCAGTAACAAATGCCTTTTTTTCTAGTGGTACGGTTTATGAAACAAGTGAATTTTTATTTGCTTACTCATGACTCTGTTACATGTCTTTTGTTTTCATTACAAAGAAATACCACTAAGCCAATTTTTGCCATTGAAACACTGTTTCAACAAGAAAGCAGAGACCTATCAAAGTTAGTTCAAACATAGCGATTTAATTATATTCAACTTAACATAAAAATTGTGGTTACTTAATAATTTAACTTATAGTTATCGGTCGATATATCACTTATATCTATTTGAGTTGATCTAAATGTTTACAGGAAACGCCCGACCTCAACTATTTTCTCCTTATTCTATGTATCATATTAAGAAAGGCATGAATAACAACACGTCGTTAGTTATGAATAGCAAACAGACAATATTTTCGTATTGAGTTTTTTGTAAGACAGAGAGAATGTAGGATTTATCTGCAAGGGAACGTCAAACGTTCACTTACTGAACTCATGTTATGTTAGTGGTTTTATTGATTGAATATCAAAACAGAGGTCTTCCATCGATTCACATAAATGTGTATTTATTTAGAGGTAACTGGAAGACGACAGAGTACATGTCACAGTTTGAAAGTAGGTTCACTGGTTAATTAGCAAGCTAGTATAGATATAGAAATATATAAAAATGCAAAAACTGGATTAAAAACAATATGCTATCCATTCACGCATTGAATAAGGGAAACGCATGTTTGCAAAACAAATTTGAAATGCAAAGTAAGAAATGGATTGTATGAACCAAGTGAATACACATTTGTTGTTGACAGGCGAACTAGTATTAGGCTGAACTGATCTGTAAAGAACTTTCTAAAACCTGAGAATTTGAATAGCAGCATACTGTCTTATGAGATAATTAATATACTCCACAAAGTATGCACTAATTTGTGGCCGCGCTGAGTGACTAGTAAGAACATTTATCATGAACAGCATATTCCAGTATGAAATGACTTCACAAATAATTTCTTGTTCTCTTTAATTTTCCAAACACGAACAGATATAGTGTCCAATTACTCAGAAGAGAAATGTTTGGAGTATTTACCACCAGTTGACAAAGGTAATGAGGATCTATGATAAGATTCATTTATATATATTACGCATTTTAAATATTTACATTGTGTTCACATTTCCATTCATGAGTAGTACTCAGGTATGAATGTATCAATCAGCCTAAATAACATTATATTGAGTCATTCTGAATGAGCCAAATCAACTGATTGTTACCTATAAATAAATTTAAATGAACGTACGTACTACTACCGCTATTCATCAGCTGCAAGAAATGGTGAATTCTCTGTGTTAGTATGAATGTAGTTGAAATGAAAATAAAATAAGCATGAGATACAAAAAGACAGCAATCAAAATGTGTTCACTCCATTATTGAGCAGTTTCACAATCACACGAAAACATCATATAATCATAACGTGTGTGACAATTACAACTTATTTGATGTTTAATTTTATAAATGTGAAGCAAGTTTGAACTGCAAAGTGAGTAACGAATCACTCAATGTTTTCTTTTCTTGTTATTCTCCTCTACATAGATGTGATAAAATATTTTGGAGAAACTGGAGAATTGCATAAAGTGATTGATCAAATAAACGATAACATAGTTTGGCTGAATCATCTTTCATGTGAGTTGGATCATTATCTGGTAGAGCAGTGGTGCTCTGTGATCATTTCTCTGATTAAAACACACACATGCAATGTATCAATATTCGATGAGATGTTTTGTTCCAATGTACAATAATATTGGCATGTGTTTTGTTTTCGTTTAGTTGAAAACCAATATCTGTCAGATATTGTTAAGGAGATTGATAGTCAATTTGAAACACGTAAGTGCTCATTTAAGTTATATTGTTTGAGAAAAATATCAAATAATATTGCTGTTAAATGATATATGACTATATATTACCTCAATTACGCAAAAACTAGCAACAAGTTATGATGTGCATTACGATCATATAGCTTCAGATGTTATGTCAACTTTATCATCAAACTATTGAACAATGCATTTTCATCACACGATCACAGAACGGGGAAGCGTTGTTGTGTCTGGTTTGTTGACATTTCGAATCCGTCAACTGCTGCTACTCCAGCAAATGTGTTTTTGTTTTACATGAAAAAAGGTGAGTAGAACTAATTGGTGTATATTTCTGTCATCATTTCGTTTCGGTTGAGTAGTATTGACAACAAAAGACAAGTGCAATTGTTGCTTTGACTGATACTATAGACGTGCCTACGACACTGAACCTGAAATTTCTACCTTTTTTCAATCTATGAATGGTAACCCTCACTGTGTACGGATGGTTATGTTTTCTAAACTTCTTTGACTGTTCACAATACACGAGCAATGCTTGGGAGACACCGATGATCGAAGACTAGTAACCTACGAAACTCCTCTACTCTTAACGGCCATGTTTTGAATCAATATAGTAGTACAGAGAGAACTGCTGAACAGTAGAATTGTCCTTCGGTTAGCAAGCAGATTTCTCGCCTGCACCATAGGTGATGTAGGTTGGCAAAGGCTTATCGAGCCTTCTAATTACATGATGAGATTTCGTCAGTCACCAGGCCATCAGCACTACTGAGACTCCGAAGATACGCTGCGTTTGACTACTTTATTCCATATCACCAGTTCATGTGCCGATACAACCCAATCTTGAAGCAACATTTTGCATTTCGAAAGAGAAAACCTCATCCCGAACTGGCTTAGGGTGGTCAGAAGACTCTGCATTTTGTCAGCGTCTTCATCGAATAGAACTACGTGATCGGCATATTTTAAGTCAGTAAGCGAATTTCCTGGTGAAAAGTCTACTCCGGAAAATTCAGATGAAGAGAATGTTATGTCTAGGAGTATGTCTACGACAAAAGTAAACAAGAATGGGGATAGTAAACATCACTGTCGGACACCACTTGATGTAGAGCATTCCGTTGACAGTTCGCCATAAGCCCTAACTCGACCTGTAGTGTTAGACTAGAGAGCTTGTATAAGGTTATTGTACTTCTTTGGTACACATTTCAATGACAGGCACTGCCACAGAACCTCACGATCCACCGAGTCAAATGCCTGTTTTCGATTCAGGAGGACAACTTTTGTCGGACACTTAAATTTGTATTTGTGTTCCAGGACCTGTCGTAGTGTGAAGTTGTGATCTGAACATACACGTCCAGGCCTCGTTTTCTCGAGTCTGTTCTTCAGGAGCACTAGTTAGGCATCTATATATATATATCAAATTTGGAAACTGTATTAGTTAGACTTATTCCCCTATTATTGACACATGAAGAATTTCGTCCTTTCTTATAGATTAGGAAACTCAGTGATTAGGACCAGTCAGATGGGTTTCTGTTCAGTTCCCAGATTCTACCTAAACTTTCAATCAATCTAGCTGCTAAAACTGCACCACTATCCCTAGAAATCAATCAATCGGGTCCTGCTTCACATTTCTTAAAGAATTTTCTACTTCATACAGGTTCATAGGACTTCCGTCGACTTGTCATTCAGGATAACTGGAGATCGTGGGTAACCAAAGTGTGGCTGAAGGCCTGTTGCAGTAAAGTGTTCTGCCAATCGATCCAGTCTCCTGGATTGAGAATAAATAATAGTCACATCCTTTTTCGAAACAGTCTCGCTTACTCTAGGATTCCCAATACCAGTTTCATTTTCAAGTCAGAAAAGTTGTCTACTTTCGCTTATTACCTCTGCCTTTTTTATGGCTTTTACTTTCGCCACTCACCACTGATCACAGTCGTTTTGCAGGCTTAAGCTGACTTCGTTCTTTGTCATGTTCAGAGCCAGGTGGTATGAGTTTTCAGGCATCCATCAGATAAGTGGATGCCACTGAGATCCACGGCTTGATTCTAGCCTTATGGTTTACTTTACTAGAAGATATCACTGCTGTTTACACAGCATTTTGGCTTCATTTCAACCTGCATCTGGATAGGAATCGCTTACACGATTGATTAACTCTCTTTCTAGATGCTCCTCAAATATTTACTGAGCTTTATAATCATTATGTGAAACCCTAAGATGTTTCCTCGCGGTGTCTTTCTTAAGTCCTGTTAGCCTCAAACAAATACGCGCTAGCACTAGGGCATGATCTGAATCTAGACATGTGCCAGAGAACGAGCGACAGACCTCTATCGAACGTCTCCATGGGTTGTTGATTGCGGTACGATCTACTTGGGTTCAACGTTGAGACAAATTTCGGGGTAGCCAGGTGAACAGATGTTTTTCTTTGTGCCTATAATTAGTGTTTGCAAGAAATAGGCGGTCATCTGAGTACACTTGCAGCAGATCGTCGCCATCGTCTGTTCGATCAGCCGCGACACCATAACATACACCAAGGTGTCTCTCCTGCTCACTTTGTCTACCTGCTTGAGCGATAAAGTCACCAGCCATTATTACTACATCATGGCGCCTAAAGTTTTGGAGTTGGTCCGAAATCTTTCTGTAGAACTCATCTTTCACCTCGTCAGAAACGTAGTCAGTGGGAGTATAGGCGACGACGGGAGTCCTTATTTTCCCGAGCCTTACTGTCCGTTTTAGTCGGACAGCGCACAAGCGACTATAGACTGAGATCCAGTTTAGGGGCGCTAGTTCTGACCTACTTACACCAGCGAGACATCGAGAAGTAGCATCATGGCTATCGGATTGTTAGCTCCGCGCTTGAAGGCCGTTAGTGTGCACCATTACCGCCGGGGACGAAAACCCATTCAAATTTGACTTAGATTATCCCACATATATTTTCTATTTTCACTTTAGGTCTTTATAATTTTGTTTCTTGAATATTTAGGTGGATTTCCTTTAACAATTCTGATTATTGGTGTAATGCTTGGAGTATTTTTGATTGGAGTCGTGTGCTCGGTGTTGATGTATCGTTGAAAAACAATGCCTATTTAATTGAATTTATTATATATTTTAAGCAACTGATCGTACTATTCGTTTCATTTATGAAATAAAAAGTGGTCTGAAGCAAAGTTTGTGTTTTGTGATTTCCTTCTTCGTCTTATATCATTATATGGCATTTTAGTATTATGGAGATTATGCTCTTACTTCTTAATCATGGATGAATAATTGTTAGATGACAATTAGAATCCTGGATACACCGGATGACTGTTAACAACATGTAGAAACTCTTGTAGTTGAATTTTCTATCGTAGCAGTTAAATAGACCAATACGTATGTCTAACGCACCTTCCATTAGTCGAATATCAAAACACAATAATTCTAGAAGAAAGTCGTCTGACAATTGTCGCGTCTTCCAAGTCGAAATTACTCTGATGAGTATCCGAGTTCCAAAGACTAGGTGAATCTAGTATACTGCGACGATATCAAATCCAAAAAATGTGGCTGTAGCCATATTATGTCAAATTTAAACAACATGTGTACAGTTCAGAAGCAAACACAAAAACTTCAATATAAGTACAAAATATAGAAATAATAACAATATACAATGATAAAATCTGAAAATATGAATCAAATAAAATACCAAAATGTCAACAGAAAGAGTCCGTCATGTCATAACAAAAATATATAAACATGGAGGGATTTTCCAAAAACAAAACACTCAAAAGAGATGTAGAATCTTTTTTGAATGTTTTGTTTTTGGAAAATCCCTCCATGCAAAAAGCAAGCGTTTACTGACACTTCAAGTTAGGGTTCCCACTCATCCCCTAATCCACACCGGATGAACGAGTAGGACTTACAGCAGTACGCCTACACGCCTTTCAACATGGATTAGACCTATCAAGCTAACTAGGTACCTGTACCTTCCCATCAGGCCCTTGATTCATCTATCTATCGTAGCATGACCTAACGGTATTATAAGCTTTATCCAATTGACCCACATGAACATGTACAACACGTCGTAAAGCTGGTCATATCCTATCCAGGATCTACATTCCATATCATGGGGATGAGTCGTCATTCCACCACCACTTGCTCCGGACAGCAAATACAATGAAGTCAGTGATGCTGACTTATAAACAGAAGTTCTTGACCCATAGATAATATGCAAGGGTGGGATCTCCAATTTTGATATTTCCTCGTCTCCCGAAGACTTTAAGTGGCATAACATGGGACCAATATCTAACTGTCCATCTCCTGATACAGAGGAGGTTTGATCAGCCTTGATCGGCATTCGTCATCGTTGGCAACTCATTTGTCACATCAGTGACATCCAGATTATTATCATTGTCATCATGATTCCGTTGTGTCAGACAAGTCGCGTCGTTTCTGGCTACACTATCATCCGTAGAGTGAAACTCTTCCATTGTTGTACAACTCATCTCGTTACATGAAAGAACGGCATTAGTATCGCAATCCAAAACCGATAAACTCACTTGTTGTTCTTCATGTTCCGTTTCAAACACACAAGACATATGCACATCAATAGCATCGTTATCATGCAACACTGTAGACTGGCTGTTACCATCAGACGCTTCCTTCTCATCATCACTTGACTGACAGTCAACCGAAGTAGGAACACTTACAGTTACACAACCTTGTGTATCCTCAATCAACTTAACATTCGCGACAAGGTCCGATGACGTCAAAACACTAGAAGGCTCGTCCGATGAAGTTGATCGACTTGTCACTATAGGTGGACTGCTCACACTTTCTGTCTCCTTATTTTCGCTGTCACTACTAAGATTCCGATGACTACTATTTCCATTGCTAGTCATAGCATCCGAAAGAGAACGAAGTTTAGGCTTCTTGATAATAGCAGCATCATGTTGTTTCCTATGCTTCTTAGCTTGGGTAGCAGTATGTGAGCGTAACATACGATCATTTCGACGACGATGAGTGTCTTTCAACTTCCATCGATCACTATTACTCGCAGGAGTATCACCAATGCTATTATCATTAGTGGCCGCAGCTGTACAAGCAGCAGTACACTTCTCATGACATCCAGTTGACTCATGCACAGTGGCTAACTCTACACGATCAACATTGCTTTCTTTACTAGGAATGCTCTTAGCCTCTCCTATCTCATCACTGTTGGTAGTGCTCATCTCAATACTTGTAGTACAAGTCAATGATGGTGGAGTGCGACAGGTGGACAATTCCGTGCTCGATTCCTCATGCTGCATATTCAGCACAACAGCATGTCTATGAAACCTAGATGACTCCTCATTGCACCTAGGATACCCAATATTAGCCTTCTCAGTACTGCCATCACTGTGTCTAAAGCTATTGCCACCAACGCCTACATTCTCCACGCTCAAACATCCAATTTCGTCTTCATCCGAAGTACTCAAAGACGCTACATTAGCAACATCAACCGAAGAAACAGCACTACCTATAGTGATTCCACTCTCGTTACCATCACGTTTATTATTCACATCAACTACGCTATTATTAGTAGATACGTCAGGTTTCACTTCCACCTTGACGTTATTGTTGTCCACAATGATGTTCTGACTATTCATAGTTAATGACAAGCTGCAAGATAGTTGGCATGCCGGCTTTAAAGCTATGCTACCACTTTCACTAACACTGTCAATGTTGCTATGACTACTTGGACCAGTATACAACTGTCCATCCGTTGACCGTAAACGAACATCAGCAGGACGCGCTAACCTGATAATATCTTCCGATTTAATATCATGATGCTGTATAGAACTAGATATAGTAGCCCGCAAGCATCTTGATTGCTCGGCAACATGAAGTGCTAGATCACTATTCACCCTTGTTGTCCTAGAATCAAATCTAGGTCCCGCTTTATAATTTACCCTACGTGAAGGGTTCCGAACAAAGGCTTTATTCCATCCAGCCAATCCTGTTTTGTCCTTATTCATATTTACTGAACTCACTAACCTCTGTTTGCTCGAATCCAAATAACCGTTCCATGCTTTTCGAGTAGTAAGGAGGCTTTTACCATCACACACCTCGGATCCATCCTGATGCCTACACTTTTCGACTTTTTCTTTCTTTTCCGTACTTAAAAAAGCCATCTCATCTGTTACACAACCCGGCTTCTTACTGGGATACGCATCAAGGGGTTTTAAATCATCGCGGTCACATACTCGGCTTTCAACAGCGTATACTTTTCTGATACAATTGACAACTCTCTTATATTCCGGGTGTGAGTTAAGTGTAAACGAAGAATCCTCTTGTCTGGCACACAGACCACTAATAGCTTCCGTATTATGTCCTGTTTTAGCACGATTAGCTAATCTTCCGAACCTACTACTAGCTATCTTGGCACGAGACATAATAAAATCCGTCAATTCATTGAAATTAGGTTCTCTTTCCTCTTCGTCTCACTTGATTTCCAGCTCTGCCCGCTGGGCTTGCATTCGATGAGGTAAGAGCCTAACTATTCGTTCTAAAGAAACCAGAGAATTAAGTTCTGTTGTACAATTTAACTGTTCCAAGATTAGAGCAACATTCTGCATTTTAATCGCCAAATTCGTCAATTGTTCAGGATCGTTATAATCTGCTTTCTCGGTTCTAAACAAGTCCTCTAAGGTTTCACGGGCTATCATATGCGACTGTCCAAAGAGCTGTTTTAAAATAGCCTTAGCTCAATTATATCCCACTTGTAGATCCATTATAAGGTAACCTTCAATCGCATTTCTTTCTTTTTGTTCACAGTAGTGAAGTAAATATAATAAACGCAAATTATCATCCTTTACTCTAGGTTCTATGAACGATTCAAACTGCTTAACGAATCTAAAGTTGTCGCGAGGTTTGCCGTCAAAAATGAAAGTTCAACCTTAGGTAATTCTAAGCCTACTATCGGTGTCCTAAGCATCTGATCCTTCTCTCGTACCTTAGAATTCTCACCCAAATTTTGTTCCTTAATGCCTTCTAAGGGTGACTTACAATAATAAGTATCAAACATAACATCATCACGAGTACAGAGGGGACCCAATAAACAAGAATCATTAACGACTCGCCTAGCATTTCGGGATTCTTCAAGCTCTTCCACCCTCTTCGTGTTTGTTTTCTTGCGGGTGCTCATGTTTAATTAAAGTTCAACGGAAGATAAATAACAAATACAAAATATAGAAATTACACCGGTAAATCCTCAATAATAAATATCCAAAATCAGAAAATCGTTTTCCAAAATAAAGTTCGATCAAAAAAGAGATAAGTAATCCAAAGTTCTTCTTCCATAAGTTTAATATTGTCAAAACCATTAATATTCCAAATGTTTCCTTATTCTTCTTAATAATCAGACTGTAGTAGGCTTGTTCATCTTGAAAGTCAGACTGCAGCTGTTCTTCTAATCAAAAGTAAGACTGTAGATGACTCGTTCTTATGAATTGTCAGACTGTAGATGAATTTTCTACCGTAGCAGTTCAATTCGATTCCAATAGACGTATGTCTAACGCACCTTCCATTAGTCGAATATCAAAACACAATAATTCTAGAAGAAAGTCGTCTGACAATTGTCGCGTCTTCCAAGTCGAAATTACTCTGATGAGTATCCGAGTTCCAAAGACTAGGTGAATCTAGTATACTGCGACGATATCAAATCCAAAAAATGTGGCTGTAGCCATATTATATGTCAAATCTAAACAACATGTGTACAGTTCAGAAGCAAACACAAAAACTTCAATATAAGTACAAAATATAGAAATAATAACAATATACAATGATAAAATCTGAAAATATAATCAAATAAAATACCAAAATGTCAACAGAAAGAGTCCGTCATGTCATAACAAAAATATATAAACATGGAGGGATTTTCCAAAAAACAAAACATTCAAAAAAGATTCTACATCTCTTTTGAGTGTTTTGTTTTTGAAAAATACCTCCATGTGTATATATTTTGTTATGACATGACGGACTCTTTCTGTTGACATTTTGGTATTTTATTTGATTATATTTTCAGATTTTATCATTGTATATTGTTATTATTTCTATAT